AAAATCGCTTTGTTTCGAAGAACTTTTCCCATTTAGGCAGGTTTGCACAGGTTTTACTGTGTTTTAATGGCATAGATCATTTCGAGAATATTCAGTGAAAGTACGGACGAAAGCACTAAAGTAACTACAACCGATATTAGGGGACTAAATTTAAATTGCAAACCAACATCCTTGTACCACTGTTGGTGTAGCTACTAGCGCTGTGGATGATTATTAAATTTTTATATACTGTATTTACATGTGTGTAGGCGTGTTTTCCATATCTAAATCGTTTTACTGTACTTCATTTTTTCATTTATTTATTTAAAAAAATTAAGTGAAACCCAGGCTCTTCGGCACCTCTTAAATTATGTTACTAAAAATATGCGACATTCTAAACCAGTGATTCCCAAAGTGGAAGCTTAAGGAGAGGGATGATAGAGGTGTTAAAAGACAAGGAGAACAAGATTTATTTAGAAACAATATATAAGAAACATATGCAGTAGATTTTTAATTATCACCTTTTTATTTATTGGACTTATTGTCTTTGCTGGAAGTTTACGTATACTTAATCCGGGTCTTCAGCAAGTAAGCTTTCCATATCTGGTCTCGATTTTCATCTATTTAGGTTTCCATATCTGGTCTCGATTTTCATCTATTTAGGTTTCCATATCTGGTCTCGATTTTCATCTATTTAGGCTTCCACATTTGGTCTCGATTTTCATCTATTTAGTCTTCCATATCTGGTCTCGATTTTCATGTATTTAGGCTTCCATATTTGGTCTCGATTTTCATCTATTCAGCTTTTTATATCTGGTATCCATTTTAATCTGTCAAACTCCATTCAGGACATCAATGAAGGACAGGCAGACGTACAGTATAGTAGGAATGTTTAGGTCTACAGTCTACTAACTGACCTTTGAACCTTTCTGTGTGTGCAAAAAATAAATTTAAAAAAAAGGAAAATGTAAGGTTTATTTTCCAAACTCTGACTTTACTTTTTTAAAACATTTAAATTTGAATTCGAAATCCTTTAAAATATTTTGCACTATAAAATTTTCTGTTTCGAGAGTCACTTTTACTTGAAAATAAAACTTTAAAACTATATTTTGAACATTTTTGAGAACGTCCATATAAATATACGAAACTAAATCTATAATTAATATGCATGAAGATAAATGAAGGAAGATATTTTCGGATGAAACGTGAAGAAAAACAGAAATTCTCAAAGGAAATTACTTACATTTTGCCCAGTTCTGACGTCGAAAACAATAGAATAAATTGCATATAAGTCATGAATAATAAACCACAAGATGTTTTTTTAGAATAGAAAGCGAGATAAACACAAAAGAAATGTATTTATAATATAACTCTAAGCTATGTGTTTTCGAATGAGTTCAGTGGGGGTGAAGTTTTGTGACGTCTTCAAAAACCGATGACAAATAAATAAATAAAAATATCAGTCCACATCAGTGACAATCGCATTGTCGACTTTCCTCTTGGCCTCCTCGAGGAGGCCAAGAGGAAAGTCGACAATGCGATTGCTATCCCCAAAGCAGCCTTGATTTACGGGAGAACAATGAAATTATTCCGTATAGCTGCAGGTAATTAATGACGTAACCGAGATAAAGAAGTGAAGGAATCATTATAAACTCAAAAATTAATTTAGCACGCGTATAAACCAACGGAAAGAGATAAAACCAGGAAAAAAAGGAGAGATTTTACGAAAAGGAAAGTTAATTAAAATTTTAATATATTATTTTACGATTCGTTTAATTAAAAGTACCCCCAAAAAAACCAGAAATAAATTAAGTCACAAGTATACTGTACCTACTGTTGCTCGGTTGTCTAAACCGTCTGTTCTTAAAAATGATCTCCATTTTCTTTATGAGAAATGAGCTTTAAAAAAAATAAATAAATAATTTAGAGAGACAAACTCGCCATCGATCCGGCTTACAGTTAAAATAAATTAATTTGCAAGAATTATATTCTTTGAGAAGGATGCTATTTGTTGTTCTGCTTTGCGTCAATGCCAACATCCCAGGGGTCATTAAAGACGAACAGTACTCGGTTACGTCCGGGTAGAAGTCGAAAGTAAAATAAAAACGAGTTGACAAATCGTAAAGATATTGCTATGACGACCTTTTATTTACTCTTCTTACAGAAAACTTTCTACTTTCTCTCCGTTAAATGCTCTCTCGATGATTTTAATGCCTTTTTGGAATGGCACTTTAAAAAGATACAAGCAGTTTTTTTTCCACGTATCTTCTTGCGTTAAAATGAATCAGATAACATTTCTTGGTCTGTTTGTTTGTCGATTCAAATCTTTGTTGATGTTTTCTGGCGGGTGCGTAAGTTATTTTTTGCTTTGGCCTGTTAAATTTCATTGATTTTTAGGACGAGCGATGTAAATTTTCTCCAGTTTATAACCGAAATTTATTAAATTTATAATGATGATCCCTATTGAAATGCATAGGCTTTCCTGTAGTTACATACCTATAAACGTCTATAAGATGTAATATTTTATGACCTATTAATAGGTATTAAACCGATTGAGATTGTTCGAAACCTTACACCTATATTTATAAGAATTTTACATTTTGACACGAGTATAAAATGGCCTTCAAACAGTAACCATTTTTAAATTAATGTCCATTGTTCAGAAGTTTGAAAGAGTCTATACTCATACTCCATTAGCGAGTTATAGATGACCGGCATGACTCTGTTGTCATCAGGAAAAGTATGATTTACAGGCGCAAGATACTACTAATTTGAGATCGAGAGCGTATATTTTAAGTTAAATAAATTAAAAATATGATTAAAAATTGTAGGACGATGTCACAATAAATAATTTCTTGTTTTATTATTAAATTTTAAACTGGTATGACGTAAAGATGGCAAGAGAATGAAGAAAACAGTTTGCACGCCCTTACAATAGGGCGTGCAAACTGTTCGATTTATCCACGTGGTTTTTGCAATTTCTAATTTTTCTGTTTTTATAAAATTTTAAAAAAAATCAATAAAACTATTAAGTGTTAATTTTGCTTCGTTTATAAGAAAAATAAAAGTAGTAAACATAAGTTAGATATCAGTAAATTACTATTGTGAAAGGAAATCGGATGTAACGTGATGCCGAGAGAGTAACTGTTATGAGATCAGATAAGAGAAGAAGGATATAAATCTACAGAAAAGAATGAGAAAGTGCATTTTGCTCCAATTGGATGCTTTTAGTATGTCATTTCTGGAAATTGTAAAGATAGCCAACAACATTAATGCAGCATTAGATCGAGTACATGTACGTTTCCAGATAGAAATGCCTTAAATCATCAAGGTAAATCGTGAGAGATAATGGAAAGCTATATATATGGGTTACTTCTTTATCTTTTTCACAATTTTCTGTAGGATTAACTTCTAAAATCCCCACAGTAAGGAACTTTTGATCATTGTTTTAGTGTTTTCATTACCCGGGTATTTTAATGGGTTCTATCTCACAAGCTTATCGGAAAAGGCCATTAAAAAGTTCTTTTTTTGTTAAATTATATATTAAGCTTCTTATATATTTAAGAAATAACTACAATTTAGCCGTATATTGTAATAAGATGATCAATTTCATAGCCTATATTTGTCTGTCTGTCTTGTGAGAACGGAGTTATATAAAATATTAAAGTAACAATTGGATTGAGGGTATAAAAGTTCTTGTAACTATATACTTAATTGTAATTAAAATATTTGTTTTATTATTATTTTCTTTTTACTTAAGAATCTTGTTAATTTTTATCATCATTTTTAATTTTGAATCTGGTAATGGTATCGATGGTTAACTTTAACATGAAAATTAAGAAAATACATTTAATGAGAATGTTCCAATGAAATATTTTATTCAAATAAAAAATAAATAAATACAATTTAAAGTAAAAATTTCATTATTTTAAAATAATCTTTACCTGCAGAAATTTTTTTTTATCATCGCGCATTGGATCAAAGTTTCCTCTTGAATGAGAAATCTTTGATGAGATTAAACTGTAAATTTGCATTTGAATACGAAAGATAAAGCCCAGTTAACACCGAAAGGATTTAAATATGATAATTAACGTACAATAATCTGTCAGAAAGTTTCATAAATTTTAAAAATTCAAAAATTCTAGTTTATTGTAATTACTTCAATCCTTTCAATAATGGAAGGATTGAAGTAATGCATTGTTCATTTGTTGAAATAACTACATCTTTCTTTAATTGTTATGAGTTTGAATGTTTCCTCGACTGTCTGTGCTTGTAAGGAATATCTCAATAGTAATTTACTGATAAATAGAAGATAATTCTGCCAGTATATCTGGTACGTTTCTCTCTATTTTATCTATTCTGTTTTGTAAATGTAAACAGAGAAATGGTAATTCTGTTGCATTGTATTTTTGAGCTTATACATTTCCATTGTCTGTCTATTGTTAATATCGAGAACGGAGTTAGATAAATAAAACTTGAGACTCAATATGGAAAGCTTAGAGGTCAGAGACACCGATTAACCATGTACGAAGTTCCGGTTTGGTCCGGAAATCACGTCATTTGTTTAAGTTAGAAGATGATTAAAAATTGCAGCCCGACATTGTGACGATGTTACAATAACCAATTGTTAATTCATTTTGAATTCTTTCTGTCCTGTGGGTTAACAGGACTGTTTTCCATACCCATTTTCGGGCTTGGTCACAATTCCACAATAGGAATGGTTTTGACATATTTGGGAAGGACACTTCCAAAAAATTTCCAGTGTCTTTGTCTATTTCCTTCCATTTCATAACAATGCTACTAGTCATGTTTCATAGACTATTTTTATGTTTATTCAGGCTTTATTTCAATGTACAGTGTTGTATGAACGCGCTTCGTATTATTTGCTTGCCTGTCTTCCTGAAGGATGATGAAACATTCATTGTCTTTAGACAATGGTTACACAGTCTAACTATAGAAAATTTACAGAAAGATTATATACGAATAAATATTAAATGACGAATTTTATTTTTTAATTCCAGAAGTGATCAGTTATCTCGATTATTATAACAGAACATGAATTAAAGGACAAGGAAAAGATATCGGAAGTGTAACTGTCAAAAACAGGACGACCACAGTTCGAAACAGGTATTGTAATTTCTAATTCAAATTAAGTAATATTAATTTTATGTTATAATGCAAAAATTGACATGAAATTACTTCAAAAATAAATCGAACAATGAAAAATATGATTAAAAATTAACTCATTGTATGAAGTAACTAACTGAAAAAACATAGTTGAAAATTACTCAGTCCAACTGAAGAACTTCCTTTGTAGATTAATAGAAATTACTACTTGGTTGGATGTGCATATTTATAATTTGCAAATTACTAATTCATGATCTACAGAATTCAAATACGTCAACATTTCAGGCAGCGAAGTATAGCGTGCTATTTCTTGCTCTATTGTATTGACGTTATTGATTTGGTGCTGAGGCCTGCGTGTTCTAGATGGCAAAAGTCAATTAATACGCTAAATTACTTTTATTCGAATGCTTTAGTATATCTAAGCTTTAAAAACCCAGTTCAAAATTAATTTAGTAGAGTAATATAGGTGAGATATTTAACAACACACGCTTAATATGAATGACGTTAGGTTTTGGGATGCAATTTTCAAAGTGCTAACTTATACATTCTCACTGGTCTGTCTGTCTGTCTGTCTGTCCTCCGTTCATCTAAAAAAATATTAGATATCAATAGATGAAAAGCCAGGGCTTGATATACGTATAAAAATTACATTGGTTCAGAAACGTGTCCATGAAAGGTGCTAAAAGAATCTACTTTTCCCATCCTAATGTCTATAGACAAGGTGTAAAACAGCTCTAGCAAGAGAACTGCTGAATTCAGTAGTTGTAGATCTTGGTCATTGAAAAATTTTAACTGCTATACAAAAGATTGATGAAATAATATTGCTGATATATCGTAAACAATATAATTAATACGGTATACCCTTCATTATTCTTTAATATAAGAGAAATCAAAGTCATCTGTTAAATATAAATTTATCAGATTTATGAAATCAACCGCCATTTTGACGTTTGTAAAATCGCAGAAAAGGTGGCCCAAAAGTAAGTTAACCGTGTTTTGTTTTCGGTGTTAATTAAGTATATTTGTGAATACAAATCGTAGTAAACTGAATTTGTTAGATCTATAATCTAAATCGAATAAGAGTCATCCTCATTATCAGCAATTTTGACAACTTTTGTAAGCAAGATAGTACTTGAATAAGATAAATATTTAAGCTTTATACTGGTTAACTGACTTTTACGCCACCCTCTAATTTCGAAATGTTTCATAATTTACATACATTCTGCAACGTTTTTGTCGAGTTTCTATCAGAAAACGTTTGGCTGCAATTTGAAAAAAATAGTGGACTTATAAATTCCCATTGTCGTCTGTTTGTCTGTCTGTCTTTTCTTAATCTCGAGAACGGTGTTAGATAAATGAAAGACGAGACTGGATATAGAACGACAAAGAGCAGAAGGCCTCGATTTATTATATAGAAACTTTCATTATAAAGTGGAAGTCACGTTATTTCAATTCAATTCAGTTAACAATTTTATAGAAAAGAATTTATTCTCCTGTAAATGATATTTTCTAATTTAAACTTATAAAGAATTTCAATCAAAATGTTTACAGTTTCCAAGTAAGTCAATCTTTATTTATAAAAAACACACATTATAATGGTCCTCTTATTGAATTATTTAGCATCCTGTTCTATAAATTCCTTGCAACAGCTGCACGTAATGGCAAATCTTCTCTCGTGCATTATCGTATTTTATCTTAATGTTTCTTATAAATATCTAAGAAAATTTTGTTTTATTCTCCGTCTTTCGTGGATATAACTACTCGATTCTGCGTAATTTCGTATAGAATATTTAGAAGTTTATTTTCCTCAAAATAGAGTTACATAGATGTCCGGCGCAACCCTATTGTTGTCAGAAAATACACAGGAAATATATACAGGGGCAAGACACTACAAATTTGAGATCGAGAGCATATATTTTTATATTATTTCTATGTTATATTATTTGAATGCGAAAAATATACATTTCCAGTGTTCTATGTGCGATTTTTCTGTGCAAATTTCATAGATGTTCATCTTTCATCATCTCAAGAAACCTGGAACGATGGAAAAATTTTTCAAGGTAGTATTTAAAGATGGGGAAGGTTAACATGTAATGTTCAAGCAGATAAATTCTCGCATTTTACCCCACTAATAGATTATTTTAGAGATTTAGCAACGTACAAAATAAACTGAAATTCGTATAACACGAGTAATACAGGAGATGATCATCATATATAATTAAGTATCTTTAGCATAAGAAAAATAAACGTAAGCACCAAATTTTCAGGCAGAAGATTAAAAAAACTGTAGACCTATAAATTCTGACTGTCGTGTGTTTGACCTTCATTTAATCTCGAAAACGATGTTAGATAGATGAAAGTGAAGACAAGATATGGAAAGCTTAGGAGGAATAGGCCCCCATTAACTATATACGAACTTCCGGTTTGCTCCGAAAATCACATGATTTCAATTTAAAAATGTCCCTCGAAATGGGGTTTCATAGATGACCAGCACGACTCTATTGTTGTCAGGAAAAGTATGATTTACAGGAGCAAGACACTACAAATTTGAAATGGAGTGCATATATTTTTAATTAAAAAAATGAAAAATATGATTAAAAATTGAAGCATTGTAACGATGTGACAATAATCTTTGTTTGTCACACCAATAATATTTTGTTTGTGTTTTATTGATCAGATATTTTTTTAGCAATTAATTTATTTATTTACTTTCGAGTGCTTGGAGATACCTTAAGGATCTACGATTGCAGTGTTCTAAATAAATAAAAGTGTTGTAAACAACAGGAATTATTATCAGATTTCGAGCCAATACCAGGTCCTTTAATAATATAAAGGATATGTATTGTTATTAACGAAACGAAATTAACAAGAACAAAAAAAATATGGCCGAGGATGTGTGTAAAAGTAATAAAATCGAATTATTGTGACATCGTCATAATACTGGGCAATCTTTAATCATATTTTAATTTTAAAAATCACATGACTTCCGGTTCAAACCAGAAATTCGTATATAGTTAATCTGTCCACTAAACTTTTCATATCTGGTCTCGATTTTAATCTATCTAACTCCTCTCTGAGTTTAAGTAAGGACAGACATAGACAGATAAAAGTGGAAATGTATATCTTTGATACCTGAAATGCACATTTCGGATATCAAAGATATCATTTCAGAAGCTTCGTTTCATGTGTTAGGATTTGTTTTCTACTCTGCTACTTGTTCGTTTATAATACTAATGAAAACATTTAGAGAAAAATATATTGGAAAAGTCATGGAAAATTAGAAGTGGAAATTTAAGAGTTGTATAAGGGAAATCTTTTCTGGTAATATTTTTTCTATTAATGTCTGTTTTCTCTTCTCATCTTCAAGCTAATGACGATGGTCTTCAAGTTACTTTCCTAACATTTTCCTTTCTGTAGCCAGTTTGATCTATGAAGTTCTCTTTTGCTTAGCATCATCTCGTATTCCTCCAGTTTTTCCTTCAAGAAGTCTAGAACAACAGTGAGTGTCTCCACATATGTCCAATTATAGTATTTCTTTCTTCTTAATCGTTTCTATTAATCTATATTCTTGTTTTACCCTTCACAGTGCTTTATTACTCATACCGTCTGTTCAAAGACACTCTCACTGTCCAGTGCCAAGTAGTGGCACGTATATCTTCATAAGATCCAAGTGAATTAGGGGCATTCATGTAAGACGTTGATTTCAAACATGTCTTCTTTTATAAACAGTCTTTACAAAAATTAAATTACAGAAAAATAAATTCTACGACGTTTCAAAATCTAATTTTTTTCAATGTAAATTTGTATATAATGAAGGTTTATTGCCCTTAAATTAATAATGGAGATGAGATTATTGGAAAAAAAAGTAGAAACTGAACTTAACGTATTGTTGATCTCATCGAAATAAATCAGAGAAAATGGGAGAAGTCGAGACATTACAAATTCTGGGAAGAAAATATGACATGAAAACATGTACCGAAGATGAACGAGTAAAGAAAATGGAAGAATTCAAGTTTCTTGAAGGCGTATTAGTCGATAGCGCAAGAAATTCAACAGAGATTTAACTAAGACAGTGATATTTAAGTGATAATTTTGGTAACATAAAGAATATTTTAGGGAAAAAGTGTCTTTAAATCATAAAAGGAAGATTTTCGAGTGTTTTGTATTCACTCTCACGAAAATCTGGCGAAGAAAGGTAAAATGAATGCCAAAAATGGATAAAGATTTAATATTGAGAGAATAGAACAAAGTGTTCTGTAGTTTGAGATTGATGACAGATTAGGAGGTCAAACAGTTTGAGAAAGGGAGTGGGGAAAACCAGAATAGAATGTATGGATAATTAAAAATAATGATTCAACATCAGGAACTACTCAGCTGTAAAAATTGATACAACATCCGAGGCGGTCCTTGGGGAAAACGTAAACAATGTTAATAATGGACTGTTTTATGGAAGATTTAATTACTTTCCGCTGCATTTGCAAAGTAAAAGCAACGTAAAAAGTTGTAAAATTTCAAGTGTATTTACCAATTGTTGTTTAAATTTCTAATCCATAAATCTATTTTAAATATGAGTTTTTTTTATCTTATATTTTATTATACTCTTTTATTAAATTTCGTATTTGTTTAGATATAGAATTCTTCAATTAATCTATAATAATGTATTTTTACATATAAACGTAATTTTGATCTAAATGAATAATGTAAAAGTTTATATAAACATTTTAAAAAATATCTATTAAACGAAATAACTAACTGCGATTAATTCATTAAATGTAACTCCGAAACATTCGAATAGATTAAATAACTACATGGAAATAAATACATGGTTGGTGGAATGTAACTAGGCATTGATACTTCTCTATAACTTTTACAATTCTAAAGCAAAAATGATAAAAATTATTTTTAATGTAAAATCATTAAGTGGAATTACTGATTCATACTTTAGAATTCAATTCAGCCACCGGAGTAACTCACCAACTTCCTCAAATCATCGGAGATCG